TATGTTTCCAGAATTTTATCAAAATGTTGGAAATATCGTTGAAGAATATTGGCATAATTCTTACTCAATTAATCATTCTATTGTCGAATTAATAAAAAAATTTAAACAATTCTATTTAGTAGGAGCAATCTCAGGTAATATCAAGGAACGAATCAAATTTTTAGAAAGCAAATATAGCTTCTCACAATACTTAGATTTTGCCATTTATTCTTTTGAGTTAGGTGTAGATAAATTAGATATTGAGATATATAAAAAGGCTTCTGATGAGTTAAGTAAAAGAGGTATTAATACAAAAGAATCTTTATTTATAGATGACAACCATAATTGTTTAGAGACTGCACAGAAGCTTAAATTTAATACCTACTTTTATAGTACTACCGAAGATTTAATTTCTTACATAAAAGATTTAAGATTGAAAACTACATGTTAAATAAAATTGAATACATTAATGATATAGAATTATATAAAGATGTCCTTTCAAAAATTCTTGAAGAATGCAAAGCAATTGACGATGTATATGATGTACTATTGCGAGGAACAGCATGTGATTGGGAAAGTATAGTACCATACTGGAGCGATATTGATTTGACTATTATATTTAAGCAAATTAACTATTCCTCACTATCAAAACTGCATAAAATTTACAAAGATAAACCTAGTAAATACGACTTTAAGATTAGCCTAACATTTGTTACCATTGATGATTATTTAAATCAGTACCACCATCATGGATTAAAACCATTATGTTATAATACTATACTTAATAGCGCATACTCACTATATGGACGAATTTATCCAGATAAACTAGTTCATGACACTGCATTAACACGATATGATTGCTTCCTAAACATAATTTACTTAATTCACGATTTAAGAAAACGTTTCCTTGAATTGAACGAAAATAATCAATGAAAATTCTTGATACGTATTATTAAACGAACTAAACATTTAGTTAGAAATAGCATATTTGTTATTACAGGATATATTAGCGAAGACATTATTATTAAAATGTCTTGCAAGTATTTCCAATCAATCTCACCTCATTTTTTTAATTTTTTACAAAACTTCAAAAATGAATACTTAAAAGATATTGATCAAGAAGATAATATGATTCAATTCATATTTGACAATGCTGAGAAAATTTATTGTGAAATACTGAGTAAGATAGAAATTCATATTGAGTCCAACGTTAAAAACTAGGATTTTAAAATATAACAAATAAACTCAAGCTAAATTTGAGTAAAAAATATCCAGGCAAAAATAGGCGTAAAAGAATCTAAAACAGTCTAAATTTGTATCCAACAGCTGATAATTGGGTGTTTTGACAAGAGCGGGAGTCGGTGGAAAGACTGAAGCTTATAAAAGTTATCCGTTTATTCCTGATACCTTATTATCAAAACAATTTCTATCGGTAGCAAAATGTTCTATAGATATTTTTTTCCCGAATCTATACAATAACTAAGATCTCAACAGTAAATTCCTATTAGTAAATACATATCTTTATGAGACTTAACTCAAAGTTAGGCGATATCTTAATAAATCTCATAAAAAAATTGGGGGATAACTACTGTAGCATATGATCCTGAAGGAAGAGAAAAACATAAATCTGCACAATATTGTCCTGGATATAATTCGTCATCTCGAATATTAGAAATAATAATTTTTACATGAATAAATGTAGTTCTATTGCTCTGTGATTTTATTAGCTCATCTTCTTGTACTCTATATCTAACAATATCTTGTTTGTTCATCAGAGAATATACTCTAAGTTTATCAGCCTGATCTTTAATAAATGTGAAAGGTATTGCTTCAACTACTAATTTAATATTATCACCACCATAATTATATATATTCTGTATAAGTTTATCATTCCACTGATAGGAATAATAACTACTCAAATAAAATGCTGTTTGTCTTTGATCAATAGAAACAAAATAATCCTTTGGCTGATTCTTGAAAGTAAAAAGATTTTCAACATCAGGAGTGTTCTGCTCAATTAATAATTCAAGGGCAGCTTCATAATTATTATCTAATATGTGTTTACCGATAAGATGGGTAGTCTTTTCACGATTAGGGATACCAAAACGTTGTATACCATAGTAATTTAAATAAAGAGATTTATAGTTATGAATAATTTTAAGTTTCCTTATTAAATGGTTATTAATATTTCTAGCTGTAACTCTAAAAGCATTGCCTAACAAATTCCCTATACTCAACTCTTCTTTAATATTCCCTCGATATGTCAGTTGTAGATTAACATCGCTGCTATTAAATTCACTGAGTTGTAAGTTATTGAACTTAACTGGTAAAGATATTAATTGAGTTGTAATTCCATCTTCATCCTTTAAACCTGAATACTTATTCTCCATAACTGAACAGTTAATAAAGTCAGCAATTATCTTAATAGCTTGATTAGTTGTAAATCCTGACTTATATAAGGAGTAGACATAAAATTGACCTTCACAATAAATTTGAGGTATAGGTATCTCGTTGACACAAAAATCATCATTCTGTTTTTTTAGTACGATATTCATTATATCATTAGTAATTTTTTGCATTTTTAGCTCTTTAAAATAATAAATTTTTATGATATTGTTTTATTTATTAACTGATTAAAAGTGTACAATGTATTATGATTATATAGAATTTCTAATACAATACTCATTAAATAAATGTATCAATTCTTTTTAAACCTTTAAACCCTCTTTTTTTGCTTTAGCAATTTTTTTATATGATTTTTTTTCCTGGGATTCTCATTTCTGATTTATCTTTCTTTATTTCATTTAAAAATGATTTTACTTTAATATAAAAAGAATATAAATCAGTAAAAGAAGCGATATTAAATTCAATGAATAAATCTCCTTTCTTTGGCGGATTATCTGTTTCTTTCGTACCATTAACTTTATGATTTACTAAACCTCCTATTAAAGGCCCTCCTAAAATGCTAATTAATAAAGATATCACAAAGCTTTTATAGCCATTATCAAATAAACAAAGGCCACCTTTTAAAGCTTTATAACGATCATTTGTAGGATTCCCTTCACGATCAACAGCCAAATCATAAGGAATATTTAAATTTTTTTTTGCATGTTCGTATATTTTACCCCTTGAAACTATAGTTGTAGCAAAATCAGCAGTTAGATAACGGGAATTTGAGTATGGTATGCTGTAACACATAGGGTTTGTTCTTAAAAGAGTTATTGAGAAGAATCAATAACTCTAGACACACCTATGCCTATTTTGCTAGCTTTTTCTATTGCTGTACTCATAGCTTCCTTTGCTATTTTATATCCCAATGAATGTTTTGCATCTATTAAAGTAATTGCTTCATTATTCACAAAAAATTCAGAAGAACTATTAGAATAAAGAGTTTGTTTATTAATACCTTCTAGTATCTGAAATATTCTGTCAGACCCATAACTGTAATACCCTCTCTTATATTCCTCCACTAATGCTTCAGCTGCAATAGTAGCATCTTCTAAATCAACTCCATTTAAAATTAGTATATCCCTTATATTATTATGTAATTGAGGAATTTTAACTTTCATGTATTTGTACTTTATAAATATTTTTCTCAGCTGTTTCTAACTCTTTAATATCTAAAGTCTAAAAAAGTTCCTTTATTCTATAAGGTGAGCACTTTTTGTAATTAAACTCTTCCATTATTTCTCTAAAATTTAAGATTAAGTTACGACTTTGGGGTCAAGTATCAATTATAGATACTATATATAAATAATTTAAAAAAATAAAACATAAAAGTCAATTAAGATAATTTTCTATTTTAATAAAAACTAAGGTAAATCAAGAACTACAAGCAACTTTGCCATTTTTACATGTTTCATACACTCGAGCCTAGTTGGTTTAATAATTTTAAGAAAATGAATATAACCCAGCTTTGTTGTATAAATAAGAAAGTTATTGTTATATTGTACGTATAATTGCCTATGGCATTAGCATATTTGTTTAGTACATAAAATATACCTTGGACATTATATATGGACATATAATATTAAAAAGTTTTTATCAAAAATACGAAAACACATAGTAAACCTGAGTCATTAGCAGCTCATATACATGGACATTAATTGATCTAACGTGTCCCTTAAAAAGTGCATAACTAGGGCTAAATATTAAAATAATATGCCCTAGTTATGCATTTTTACTGAAGGGACACTCAACATTGAGTTCAAGTTTTAATTCATTACTCAAATATTGAGCGATTTCGTGCTTGATTCGAACAGCTTCATTTTTTTGGTCCTGCTAAATTAAGTAGAAGGAGAGTAGACCAGAGGAACTTCTCCGCTAGTAGATCCTCGCTCGTTGTTTATGACCTTGATATCTTTTGTATTTCCTCATTTCCCACCGAGTTTGATATTTCTCTATATTTCTTACGTATGAATACATGACTGATTTATAATATCTTCCATAATAATTTATCCAACCCTGTACTACTTTTGGTAGTTGATTAACAAATAAGAAGGATAATTCTACCCCTTCGCTCCAGTGTCTTTCAACACCTTCATAACTACTACGAGTTAATCCGCCCCTATATACTACATTGGTACTCTGATCCTTATGGTGCTTCCACTTGGATTTCTCCCTTAGCACTAGTACACAGGTTCCCACGTTCCAAATAAAAGCCTGGTTCAAGTTCATGCCACCTCTATGCCGGAGACTAATTAGCCAGTAAACAGGTTTCCGCTAAATTTATCCCGAAGCAACGACTTGTCCTCGGTTTTGATCTTATCTATACGTTTTCGACACTTCAGTAGTTGTTCAATCGCTTCATCTCCGTGAATCTTACCTGATATGTTGTTAGACACCTTTTCTCTAACGCTCACCACCATACCTTTTGACTACAGCAGCTTAGAGTGGTTTGAAATCTTTTCCTGTAAAACGATTTCGGAGGGCCGACCTCCATCTTTTATATAGTTACACACAAATTCAAATTATTATGTTGGCTTCATAAAATTCTCCTTTGTGCTCGTGGCACACAGTCATCACAGTAACGAAACATATTTATTTTGCCCTTGCAATGTTTTTTTGACTACATCTTTAAACCATTGGTCTATCACATAATGAGCTAAGATATTAGCAAGTACGGAACAGCAAGCACTTCCTTGCACTGCTCCCTCCTCACTTACGGTCGTTTCTCCATTTGTTAAAACCCCTGATTTTAACATTCTGATGATATATCTAATAAGACGTTTGTCTTTGATTTTCATCTCTAATGTTTTAACCAGTTCTTGATGGCTTAGAGTTCCAAAAAAGTTCTCCAAATCTATGTCAATAATAGTTCGAACCGGTCTAACATATAGGTGACGACTTAAGTCTTTAAGTGCATTATGACAGTTCCTGCCTGTTCTAAATCCATAAGAACATTCCAAGAATAGCGGTTCATGTATACTTTCAAGAATTCGTTGCATCATCTTTTGTTCTAGTTTATCTTCAAAGTTACTAATCCCTAGATTAAGAAATGTATCTGTTTTACCTTCCTTAGGAATTAATACTTGACGTTTTATCCCTGGACGATAGCTCATTTGTTTCATATTAGAGATTAACGTTTTTAGATCATAACTCAGGTTCTTTCCATACCTTTTCTTATCTACTCCGTCTACCTCTACTGCTTTATTACCATCTAATTGGTAATAGCAAGTTTTTAATGATTCTTCGTTAATGTGGTGCATCAAGCATCCGAACTCCTTGGTTGGATCATTACGAGATAGCATGGTTATCCTCTCTAGTTTTGTATCCGTTATTGTTTGAGTTTCTTTTGTCTTATAACGTTTCTCTATTAAGGTTAAATTTACCCACTAGCCTTCCCTCCATCGACATTACTCAACCTCACGGGTACTATGCTAGATCTGACTTCCTCATTATCTTTTTAACTTTCTCGTTTTTACACTTGTCGGTTAATACTTTTTTTTGCAAAAGAATAATAAGGATCTCCCAAGTTCCCTTGTATACTTTAGTAACATTCCATACTCTTTGACTCCGAGAGTGCTAAATTTCTTTTACCCATAGTGAGGAATCTAGTGTTGTCTTTTAGGAGAATTAAACTATCGACCACTCTGATAATCAAATTAACGGAGCTCTATCGTTACGGCCTATTACTTTCCTGTCTACGCTTAGCATAGTTGCTACCAATTTCTGCTCAAGACTTGGTATCAAGTGCATTGGATTATGCTTCTTGAGTAGCACTTTCAGCTACTAGTCTACAAGAACTTTCTTGGCGCACAATTCTGATTTGTTTATGTATTACCTTTAAACTATAATTTGTTTTTAAGTTTTGCAGTTTCTTCTAAATCTAAGCCCATTACGAATGAAATAAGTTTATCATCCAGCTTCTGGTTTAGCATATTAATTGCTGTTTTTACCAAAATAGGATGTGTATTTGTATTAATATCAATACTCATGATTTTTTTAACTTTTCTATTTCTTTAGCAGTTAAACCGGTAAATTCTACTATTTCTTTCATAGGTTTATTTTTTGTTAGCATAGCCTTGGCGATTTCTACAGCTTTTTTGGTTTCTCCTTTCTCAATACCTCTAGCTTCACCAATGGAGATGCCTTCAGCTAAAGCTTCTGCTGCAGCTTTCTTTAGCGTATTGGCTTCTATCCTTAGCCATTTAAGATGATCTTCGTAAAGTTCTCTTTCCTCTTTGCTAAAGTTAAGGACATTCAATACATGTAGCGCTTTCTTCAGATTCTTATCATCTAGTTCTTTAGGTAACCTGTCAGCTGTCAGTAAATCATGTCTGGTTAAAAATGCAACCCAGATATCAAGAGCGGTTCTGGTTTTAGCAACTATATCCTTTTATTCCTCACTTGAATCACTGGTAAATTTATTGAGCTCTATAGTGTGTAATTCCAAGTCTTTAAAATAGGCAAACCCGTTCTCTTTTTCCGTAATGTGAAAAACGTTATGATAAGTTTTTGCTTGCGGGATGGAAGTAAAGTTCAATATATGAATACCTACAGCTTTGGATAGAGCAGAATAATCCTGTGCTACCTTTAGCTGCTCGGTATATAATTTTGCCCAGTAATAAAGGGCTCTTTTATCATAATTGGCTTCATCGCTAATTTGAATCTCAATATTGAATCTTTTGCCGTCCTGATTGCAAGCTTTAACATCTAGTACTGATAATTTATCTTGTTTAAAGTTTTTAGGATTGTAAGGATTCAGTAAAGTAACCTCTTTTATCTGATTTTCCTTACCGACAATAGAATTTATAAGAGAAATTAGTAAATCCTTATTCTCTTCGACACCGAAGATTTTCTTGAATGCCAAGTCCACGCGAGGAGATACTTTTTCCATAATTACCGTCATAAAAACTTACAAGTATTATATCACAAATGCCTGAGAAGTTCCATAGTTTTATTGGTTTTTAAGGGTTTTTCTAACAATTATCGTTATTAGTTTTCTTTTGAAGTTCTACAAAGCTACGTTCCAAATAATCTGTAACCTTTTGTAAATAAGTAAATAAAGCAGATTCTGTTAGTTACCTTGATCTAAAATTTCATAAGCTTTCGTTAAAAGATTAAGTTCTCCAGAAGTAACAGTCTGTTGTTCTTGATTTTGTTTATATCTATTATGCGAAGCTTCACTGTTTTCAGCTATATTATGCATTCCTCTAGTGCGTGTTTGTATTTCCACAGGTAATCCATATGAACCTAAAAGAATAACAGTATGCAGGGATTGATAACCATTAGTCTTTGGATTGTCAATATAATCTATTTACTTTTCTGGTATTACCTTGTAAATTTCCTGAATAAGTTTTAGTGTTGTATAGCATTCGTTTTCTTCCCTTACTATAATTCTAAAGCCAACAATGTCATTTAGTTCTTCAAACTTAACTGAGTTTCTAGTTAATTTTTGTAAAATGGAATAAGGGTCTTTAATTCTACAGGAAATGTTTGCTGTTGTACCGAGAACTTGTAATTGATTGCAAATTAAGTTAATTGCTTGGTTATACGAAAAGTCTTTTGATTTATTCTCCATTTCAAGCCTACTAGCCTAGATTTAAATAGGCAGTCAAGTTTACCAAAGGTGGTTAAGTCTGTCAACGCCCCTGTAAATGGAATATATATAACCGTAACACTATGGGCACGTCTGTAGCAAATAATATCTTACCTTTTAGTGGCTTCACCTTTTTCAAAATTCACGCTTATCGCCGCTTTGCAAGGCACTTGAGTTTTTTAAAAAAGCTTATGCTTTATGCCTCCTAAAGAATAGAAAGCTTTTGCTTTCATCTGTAGCGAATACTAAGGGTTTTATTAACTTATAATTTAGGAGTATACAACATGACTAGGTATTTTAATAGTAAGCGTTCGGGGAAGGTAGTCTTGTAAAAAGGGAAATAAAGGGTAAAATTTCTTAAATATAAAACTCAGGAGATTTTATGACAAAAAGAAAACGAATATACGTATCACGGGAGAAAAAGAAACAAAAAATAAAAGAAATAATACAAAATGGTAGTGATATAAAATTATTGGCGGAAAAAAATCAGGTAACGGCAAGGACACTTAGTAAATGGGGAAGCGATTACTACCAAGCAGAAGAAGGAAAGGATCCAAAACTGGAGCAACATTTTGTAGAAGTTCAGGTAGGAAGCAATCTTAAAAAAGTAGAATTATTATTAGATAATCATAGATGCAGTATAAAGGGGAGATTAAATAGCGAGCAACTAATAAAAGTTCTGCAAATACTGGAGGAAGCTTCTTGTTAAATCCGGATAGCAGTTGCCGAATATACCTGTGTACAGGCCACACGGATGTGAGAAAAGGCGTACATAGTTTATCTATACTTGCACAAACAATAATATCTGATAATTTCAAGGTAGGAGCGTTATTTGTATTTCGAGGCAAGAGCGCAGATAAAATAAAAATACTATGGTGGGACGGACAGGGATTTTGCTTATATTACAAGAAGCTAGATAGTGGTAAATTCACGTGGCCAAAGTTAGAGGAACAAAAAAAATTGATAATAACAAGAGCACAACTGAGTATGTTAATGGAAGCGATTGATTGGAGGAATCCAGTAAGACATGAGGGTTTGACATACGTAGCTTAAAACGATTAAAAATGGAAAACAAGATAAGTAATTTACCGCCCGAAATAGAGTCATTACATAAGCTAATTGCTTGTTTACACGGCAAGAATTTGGATCTACTTAAGCAAAATAACAATTGGTCTTCTAAATACCAGAAACTATCAAATCAAAATACGGAACTGTCAAAGAAAAATACTGAATTATCGGACCAAGTGAATAAACTGGAGAAACAATTAAAGGTTTTGAAAGCAAAAAGATTCGGTAAATCATCAGAAAAGCTAGAGCATAAAATAGATATAGCAGAAAGATTACTGGAATAGGAGGAGTTGTTATTAAGATTCCAGTCAAATAGCACCACTTTTATAGGAGATACGAGAGGGGAAAAGTCACAAGCAAAAAAGGAAGAAGCTACCTGATCATTTACCAAGAGAAGAAGTAGTACTGATGTCTGAGCCCAAATGTGACTCCCGTGGCGGAGAAGAGTTCCGCACTATAAAAGAAGACATATCGGAAGTGCTAGAGCATATACCTGAAACATTCATAACATTCATAACGGAAGTGCTAGAGCATATACCTGAAACATTCATATACCTGAAACAACACATAAACATACATGTATATATATATACATGTATGTTTATGTGTATGTGTGTATGTGTATATATGTATATGTGTATATGTGTATATGTATATGTATGTGTGTATGTATATATGTATGTGTGTGTATGTGTGTGTATGTATATGTGTATATGTATATATGTATATGTGTGTATGTATATGTATATATGTGTATGTGTATATGTATATATATATATATATATATATATATATATACATGTATGTATGTGTTTGTGTGTATGTATGTATGTATATGTGTGTATGTTTATGTATGTATACGTATATGTGTGTATGTGTATGTATATGTGTGTATGTGTATATGTGTATGTGTATATGTATGTGTGTATGTGTATATATATACATATATCCTTCTTATATATATTCTTCTTGTTTCTTTTTGTTTGTCTGTTTTAATTTTGTTTAAAAAAAAATATGAGTAGATGAACTTAAATCTTTAAAATGTTCAGAATCTTTTTTTGATTCAAAATATCTTTTGTATACTTAAATATATATTATGAAGTTTATTGGATATGTATACGCAAATGTACGGATTTGTAAATTATTTTTTCAAAAGTTTTTCTTTTTTATTATTTTCAAACTTTTTAGTTTTGTCAAACTTAAAAATTATTCTTTCAACTTTTTGATTTTTTCAAACTTTTTAATTTGTTTTTTTTTTAACTTTTTTTAATTTCACTCTTTTATATATTATTGGAAATTGTAAAGTTTTTTTTTATTTTTTATTTTTTTTATTTTCACGAAGGGGCTTGATGATAAGACATTTTGTCTTCTACTTGCCCCAGTCAGCTTGCATATGTATAAATTTATTTGAAAGTAAGGTTAACATTGTAAAATGTGTCAAATGACGAAAAAAAAAAAATTAAAAAAAAAAAAAAAAAAAATTCAAGGTTATAAGATATATAAGACCAAGATGTGCTTGTATAAAATGTCATAATATTATGCAGGCTTACGCTCCATCAAAAGTAATAGATAAAGGAATTGTAGGTCCTGGATTACTTGCCCATATAGTTGTAAATAAATACTGTAACCACTTGCCTGAGT